GTACTTTGTCATAGGCCTTTTCAAGGTCAATGAACACCATATGTAGGTCTCTCTTCCTTTCTCTATATTTTTCTACCAGTCTACGCATAAGATGAATGGCTTCGGTAGTCGAACGTCCCGGCATGAATCCAAACTGATTCTCAGAGATGGACACCCCTCTTCTCACCCTCATCTCCACCACTCTCTCCCAAATCTTCATAGTATGGCTCAACAATTTGATACCCCTGCAGTTGTTACAGTTTTGGATATCACCCTTGTTTTTATACAACGGAACCATTGTACTCCACCTCCATTCATCAGGCATTTTTGTTGTCTTAAAGATAACATTAAACAGCCCAGTTAACCACTTTATGCCTGCCTTGTCCATGCTCTTCCAAAATTCTACCGGAATCTCATCGGGTTCGGTCGCTCTTCCCATGCTCATCCTACTAATAGCCCGTATAACCTCCTCGGACCTAACGCACCTACAGTACCCAAAATCCCGAAGTCTTTCAGAGTGCGCCAAATCATCCAACACAATGTATGCTTCCCCTTTTTCATTTAAAAGTTTGTGAAAATAGCTTCGCCGTCTTTGCTTGATGGAGGTCTCTTCCACCAGTATTTTGCCTTCCTCATCTTTGATACACTTCACTTGGTCCAAGTCGCGCGCCTTCCTCTCTCTTGCTTTTGCGAGCCTATACAACTTCTTATCCCCACCTTTGTCCCCCAGCTCGACATACAAGCGTTCAAAAGCTGCCGTCTTCGCCTTCGTAACAGCTAACTTAGCTTCTGTCTTTGTCGTCTTATAGACTTTCTTAAGCGTCCGCTTCTCTTCCTCGTCTACGCACTCCGCCAATTTTGTGTATGCAGCCTTCTTCGCTTCCACTTTGCCTTGGACTTCCCCATTCCACCACCAATCTCCTTTATGGCAAGATTGTTAATTAATTAGTCTTATTCAATTTCTAGTCGAATTTGCTCAATTTGACTACATCCTTAACTCCAAGTGCAATCCATTTGGCCGTTTCCTAATTGCAATTCTAGCCACTTTGACTCCACCTCTAACCATATTTTAAACCCCATCAGAGTCGTCATTTTTGTTGAACTTGATCCAAAGAATAGCGGTTAGGAACGATCTCTCCACATTGTAAGCAAACCTCTCGATGAAGTCCTTAGCCAATGCATTCCAACTAGACCATTGCTTCATTTCTTGGGAGGTAAACCATTCCAAGGCCTCTCCACTTAAGCTTCGGCTAAAGAGCCGTATTAAAAAAGTCTCATTTTTCTCAGCTCCCACAAGTTGATCACAATATGCTTTCAAATGAGCCAAGGGATTTCAGGTTCCTACAAAAATGTCAAATTTAGGTACTTTGAACCCTCCCAAAGGGTCCAAATTTGAAGGGATACACATATCTTAATAGTTTAGTCCTGCAACATTGGGAATATAATCATCATCTCTTCCTGTATACTCTGCTTGGTCATTTTTTCTTTGGCCCTCCACTCTTTTTCCTGCTCCTTTTAGTGATTGAGTTCTAGATAGGTAGTGTAGGGAAGATGTGGTTCTGTGTAGACTGGAATATGGAAAGTGGCTTTTGGGGGTAGTGGCTGAGTGGAAAACTTCCTCGGCGTGGTGTGAAGACGACAAGGTCTTCCTTTATCATGGACATCTGGACATGACATTGAGTTATGTCGTATTTTCAGAGTTGACTTGGAACATCTCATCAACATAGGGAAGATTGAGGTTGAATCCCCACAACATTATCCATTAAGAGTAAAAGATCAAGAAGCCTCAGGAGTGGCGTAGTTTAATTTATGAAGTTCGTTGTTATTTCCTTTTCATATTAATGGATCTATGAATGAATAAAGTTTCAAAAAAATTACTACTGTTCAAATTGAACTACGGAGGACCTGATTTCTCATTCATGAGATATGTAGGCAGCCTTCAATGCCCGACCCCTATCTTTTAAAAGCTTACTTCTCCCCCTTCATTTTACAAGGAAATAGTAAGTTCACATCAACAGTTGTCGAGAGTACAACCGTGAAAGATGCAAGAAGACTTTAGCTCAATGCAAGTTAACATTCCTGATTCACTAGCCCCAAAATCAAATAAACAAATTCCTGCCTATTTAAATCATCTCCCAATACTCGTGGATTAACCTGTCCTCAAACAAAGAAACTCTTATGTGTTTATTTTCTCTCTATGTGATATTTTGCATTATATGTTATAAACAAAGACTAACAGATTTGTCTGAGTTGTTTTTCCCTGTCAGGTATTTAGAATTGATTTGTGTTGATAAATTGGTCGAGCATCCATACTTCATGCGATCTAAAGCTCCAAAAGGTTCCTTCCCCAACCGAAATTTATTCAAAGAAAAATGACGGATAACAGTAAGAGTATCGGCTTGACTGAAATTGATGTAATGGATCCCATCGTTACTGAACAAAATGAGTTGATTGCACAGTTGATGAAACAAATCGTTGAGATATCAAATCTGGCTATTGTTGCCAACACTCCAAGTGATGGAAGGCCTCCACTCCATTTCCTCCTCCAAATCCAACTCCTGAACATGTCCCAAATGGACCACCCACTATTCCTGTTCAAAAGCCCCCCACCATCGACTTAACCACCCCTAACCCACATCATGCTAGCTCTTTATACCAAGCACCACATCTTCCCTACACAGCTACACTACCTATCCCAAACACGATCACTAAGAGGTGCAGAAAAAAGAGTGGAGGGCCAAAGAAGAAACGACCAAGCAGAGTATAAAGGAAGACATTATGAAAGCGATGAAAAAGTTCCATTATATTCCAGATGTTGTTGGACTGAACTATGTAGATCTGTGTATCCACCCAAATTTGGAACTTCCGAAAAGGTTCAAAATACCGAAATTTGACACTTTTGGAGGACCCCTTGGCTCATCTGAAAGCGTATTGTGATCAACTTGTGGGAGCTGGTAAGAATGAGGCTTTGTTAATGGGACTCTTTAGCCGAATCTTAAACGGAGAAACCTTGGAATTGTTTGCCTCCCAAGAAATGAAGCAATGGTCTAGCTGGAATGCATTGGCTAAGGACTTCATCGAGAAGTTTGCTTACAATGTGGAGATTGTTCCTGATCGCTATTCTTTGAGAAAGTTAAACAATATTTAGTTGATGAAATTCTTTGATAAATCAAACTCAAAAAAAATACAATGTTGAATGAAGTAGTCAGCATCCCCTCCATCTTTGTTAAACATACATTACCAACTCACTGTAACTCTAGGCCTCCTTCTTAAATTGTAGGCTGTTAAGATGGAACCTGATGCTGCACTCCATGTGCAGAGGCAGCATTCTAAGGTGTCTTGGGCTTCCATGACTGTGACCACGTTGTAATTGACCCATGCCCATTAAGTAAAGTAGGATATGTCAGTGACCAAGCATGACATAGCACTCTCCGAGGGCATGGAATGTCAAATATTTTGAATAGAATATCAACCGTAATTTCTCTTTACATACTCAAGTCGAAATAAAGGAACGGTCAATTCAATTCTCGATGGAATCGTGCAAAATTATCCCACAAACTGGAATATTATTTTGAGATCTTCGAACATATTCAAGGGTTCAATGTATAGTAACATTGGCCACTACAATATGACGTCACTGAAAAGCATCTTCTGGATGAGTTCCATATTCACTTTTCAGACACACCAATGTGTTCAGTGAAACTTCTACTTCATTCCATCCCCCCAAAACTGTAAGGGGTCGTTTGGTAGAGTGTATTAGCAAAATTAATGTATACATTAGCTTTATGTATTAGAAGTACCTTGTTTGGTGCACTTTTTCATGCTATGTATAACTAATACTTGCATTAGTTATACACTCTATTGTGTATTGGGGAGTGTATTACTAATATCATGGATTTCTAGATATTAGTAATGCAAAGGGATTTAACGCATGCATTAGCATTTTAAAGACACAATTACCCCTCAATCCCTTTTACATCCTTTTCACCATAATTGTGGAGGATATTTTTGTACAATGCATGTTATTTTTAATACACCAAACCAAACAATGTATAAGAAATAATCTATGTATAACTAATGCAAGCATAACTAATGCAAGCATTGCTAATACATTCTATAAAGCATTATTTTTATACACACTACCAAACAACCCCTAAGGGTTTTGTCAAAGAAAAGTCACATGATTACAACAAATTTAGGTATAGTATAAGTGTCTTTTAGCCATATTTTCCTCAACATAAATTAAAAGGGCAAATCAAACAATTACAGTGAACTATGAGGGTTGCTTAGTATAATAGATCACAGCTAATTCATAACGTGGAAACAAAACATTTAGGGTTTTCCTTCGATTAACATTACGTTAAGAATTGCTGCTTACTATAATAGATCACAGCTAATTCATAACTTGGAGAAAAACATATGTCCTAATAGAATACAAAGTTATAATCTATTGAAAAGTCTAGTATTTTATTTAGTCAATTAAATAGGAACACTTATGAACAAATGATATACACAAAAGGCGACATCTGAGGCATCACCAGTCCATAGAGCAGCACCTTTACTTTTTAAACTTATCCATTCCCACTTTCCAGTGTATTAGACTAGTAATTTATTACAACCAAATCCCACTTTTTCCTCTGCCTGGAAGTACGCATCTTTGTCCTTGCCTACATAGCATCTTTTACCATTTGGGATTCATAATTGCAACTATAGTGACCAGAGGAGCAAGATGGGAAAAGGTAACTTTTATTAGCTATAAGATTTTTCTTTGTCATGCATCAACAGGGAAAGCATAAAGCTAAATAAAAACTTAGAGATCAAAATGAAACAGACATTCATAAACAAAATAAAAATGCATAGGGAAACAAAAGAAGAAGAAAACAAGTAGAAAATCAAAGAGAAGAGATCACAGCAGCATACCTACAGAAACTTATCAAGAAAGCAGTCATATCTATAGTACATTTGGTCAGCCTGTGGGCCAATAGCAAGGGTACGTTCATGATTGGCTAAGCAGTGTAGCTTGTGAGCATTAAGTGACAATCACTCCTAAATCAAAGATACTACGAAGGAGTGATGGATTCCAATAGCATTCCCCTTTTCCCGCACTCCTTTAAAACATCCTGAGCTTCTTTAGTATGGCCTGATTGAATAAGTGAATCAAGATATAGTTTACATGTCAAAACATCGGGGACGCATCCATTTGCTTCCATTGAAAAAAACAAGTTCTTAGCTTCATCAAATCTCCCCAAGTTACATAAGGCTCTGATAAAAGCACCATAAGTATGATTATCAGGGATCAAATCCAGGGTCAACATGCTTATCAGAAGTCTTTGAGCCTCATCAATCTTATTCATCTTACAAAAACTTTGAATTAAGGCATTGAAGGAGAAAACATCTGCCTTTATTCCATCACCTTGCATTTTTCGTAATAATTTCAGTGATCTACCAACATCCCCGAGGACACAAAGTGCACGAATTAAGATATTGTATGGTACGGCGTTTGGAGCAACTCCCCATTCAACCATCTCTGTGAGACAGTCTAAAGCATCGTCAATGCGATTTACTCTACAAAGGCAATCAATCATTGAACTAAACGTGAAAATGTCTGGTCGAAAACCATGTTCCAGTAGTATGACTAGTAGCTCATGTACCTTGTTAACCTCCCCTACCTTGGAATATCCACTAATAAGAGTGTTAAAAGTTACAATATTGGGAGTGACACCTCTCTGAAGCATATCTTTGAAAGCATCTGATGCTTTGTCCATCATTTTGATTTTGCAAAAGCAATCAATGACCCGGTTATAGAAGAATGTGTTAGATACAAGACCATCCTTAAACACCTGGTCCATATATTTGTTCCCCTGTTCAACTCTCCCTCCTTTATAAAGAGCATCAGCAAGTGCAAGATAAATATCAACACTAACCTTCACCCCTCGAACAGTGATGAAGTCTAATATCTGACAAGTATCATCAAGCTCCAATCCTTTGATTAAACAAGTCAGTGCAATGTTAAGAGTTGAGTTATCCAGTAAGTAACCTCTATCAATTGATATTCTTAAAAGTTGAGCTGCTTCTCTGGGCAAAAAATTAGTACTAAGGCAATGTAGCATGGAAGAACAAGCTACATTAGGCAAGACATGTTCTTTCTCTAACCATCTAGATAACAATTCAAAGCCCTTATCTGGTGCCACACAGCGAAATACCCCATTAACCAATGATCTTACAGTAGCTTCATTTGGTACAATACCCCTACTCTTCATTACCCCGAAGAGCTCAAATGCCTCGTCCACCCTTTTAGCATTACAAAACCCCTCAACCAAAATTGTGTAAGTAAACACATTGGGAGAGTATCCCACTCCTTCCATCTGTTTCACCAGACGAAGCGCCTCCTCCACAACCCCAGCCTTACAAACTCCATGAATGAGAATATTATATGTAAACTTATCTGGTTTACAGTTATCTACCTGCATTTGCTGAAACTTTAAATAGGCTAAGTCAAGTGAATTGCACTTGATCAACGCATCGATTACCGCATTATACAACCTAGTATTCGGAGCGAGCCCCAAATAAGAAACCTGCTCTAAAATGTCAGTACAGTACTTCCCCAACCCTAATCTTCCCCAACTACCAATTAGAACACAAAGCAAGTCCACAGTAACTACATTTCCAGAGTTTCTGATATCTTGAACAAGCTCAGCTGACAACAAAAGGGGACCTTTCCTATAAAGTACATTACTTAAAACCACCTTAACTGATTGATTCTTCGCAAAAGAGGGACAAATCTTCAAAACCCAGATATAAAATCTAAAGGGGTGTAATGCGTTTTCTTGATTTTGCAAAATACTAACAACTTCTTGGTGATTCAAAGTAACCCTCTTGGCTTTATACTCGTGGTTTAGCAATAAATACCAGTCTTTTCTTGCAAGAATTTGGGAAAAATACTTATGATCAATAACACTTGCTCGAAAGTTTACCTTTTTAGCTGCTATGGAAGTGTTGGAATTCCAATTGAATGAAGGCTTCGGCTTACTGGGTGAACTTTGTTGAGTAATGGGGTTGCTAGTGGTGGCAACAGAATGAAGATTTGAGGGTTTTGGAGTAATGGGTGTGAGGGAATTTTGGTTTTGTTTAGAGAGATTGGTGAAAGCAGGTGAAGAAGCCCTTGAAGCTACAGAGGAAAACCCTCTCATACTCTTTCACTCCCCTTTGAAGCTGTCCTTCTGAAGTCGGCTGTACTTCATGCTCTTGCCAACATGTTCATGGTTTAGGTAAAATCAATTTAAACGGAAAAATTAAATTAAATAAATTTATTTTTATTTTGGTTGTTGTGAGTTGATTTTATATTTTAAAAAATGGATAATAATTAATTTTAATTTTATTTTATTCAAAAATAACAAAGAAATAATTGAATCGATAAATTATATATATATATTTATTTATATATATATATATATATATATATATATATATATATATAATATTATAATTATATATAATATATTATTTTTATGAACAATATTTTTTTTACGAAAAAATGCAACATTCTAACGAAAAAGAATAATGTATGATGCGATTTTTATGTGTGCAATAATATTAAAAGTTTATGTATTATTCAATAAATTTATGTTTTTTACTATATTGAATTAACTAACAATGGTCGTTTGGTAGCTGGATAGAGTTATACATGCATTAGTAATGTGGGTATTAGTTATGCAGGTATTAGTAATCAGTGTATTAGTTATGCAAGTATTAATAACATGAGTATTAGTTATGCAGGTATTAGTAATGTGGGTATTAGTTATATAGGTATTAGTTATACAAGTATTAGCTATGCAATGTTTAGTTATGCGGAATTTAGTTATGCATAAATTATTACTGTGGATGTTGGTTTTTTATATTAAAAATTAGTAAAACTATATATTTTTTAAATTATAACATTTTTTTACAATTATATTCTTTCCTTCTTTAACTTTGTATTTAAATTACAACATTTCTTTGATTATGTAAAAGAATAAAGTAGTCAAGTGAAACTGATAAGGGTAATATTGTCCTTTTAGCTTTTTATCCATGTATTAGCTATACATGTATTAATTATTCCATCTTCTATTCCGCATAAATAATACACAAATTTCATCATTACTTATACATATATTAGTTATGCGAATTTCAAAATTGTCAACCAAACATTGTATTAATTTTATACATGAATACCTTTTTTTCTTATCCACCTACCAAACACCGTATTAATTATATACATGAATAACTTTTTTCTTATCCACCTACCAAACATCGTATTAATTAAATACATGAATAACTTTTTTCTTATCCACCTACCAAACGGCGTATAAGTTATACAAACTCTAATACATAGATAAGACTTGTTTTATCCAGCTACCAAACAACCTCTAAGGTTAAACATAATTAGAGTTTTTATATAAGAATTATAAGTTCTAAAATGGCAGAGAATTCTTTTCTTTTTGAATGAATTTTTTTCATTTTTTTTTATTTTCTATATGATTAATAACCAAACTAAATTGAATCGAAATCGATAATAACCAACCGACAAGTGTATATTATATTTGATTGGATTTTAATAATTTAAAATCTGATTAAATTAGTTTAATTTTAATTTTGACCAATAATCAACTTACACCGACTCATGAACACAAAATAAAAAAAAAGGGCGAAATGATTTCCCTTTCAGTTGATTTTATTGAACGATTGACCAAAATTTCTACAGCTTCTTCTACATAGGCTCCTCCACTTCTGGAATTGAAAAAGGAAGTCTGCAGGAGTCAAGGGGTTGTAGGGGCGACTTCCAGAGATAATTACAGCGAGGGGAGATGAAGAGCATTTTCGCCCATTTATTCTATACCAAAAGTGAATTCATTTGCATACGACATTCTTAGGAACGTGACACATCAATCCTTTGTACCGAAGTAAGGTTGACTGCGGACGATAGTTATACGTCCACTGCTTATAGATATGAGATCAATGACTTAAATAGAAGTTGCATCTACTTTAATTGATGATTTCTCACCTTCAACAAGATTTTTGGAATGTAACAATTCCATTCAGTTCTCTTTCGGAAAACTTGCTGGTCGCGGATTAGTTAATTTGAATCGAAAGTTGCTTTTGACTCCTCCGCCTTTGAAGGCTGGTTACATCCAATGTCTCCTACGAGGCTGCCTTAAAGTCCAGATCGAATTCCAATTTTTCTTATCGAGTGTCTTATTATTTTGCCTTTTTTCTAACTAAGCAACTACTAAGCTCCCGCCCACCCCCAACCAATTAGGGTAAACTGTTCATTCATACCTTCAACAGCATCGAGATATTGGCCCATGACCTGGCATAGAGCCGGGTGATTGCATTCAAAGGGTTCAAGGTGTACCCTGCTTCCCGCCCGAAAGAACTGCTCACTAGCTAGCCGTCTAGTAGTCTCTGACTTGGTCTTCGAATCCTAAGTCTCAGCCCCTTCCCGGCCCCTACTCTTGCTAATCACCTCCATACATATATTTTGTTCTCTCTTTTTCTTCTTTTAGTTTGTGATCGAAACCATTTCAGTTTGGTTAGAGATTAATATGCAATAGTAAAATTAAATGTGTGGTATGAAAAAATTAGTCTAAAAGAATTATTAATTCGTTTAGATAATAAATTTTTGAGATTTGAAAATGAGTTGGATTCAATTGTAAAATCAAATAATTATATAATCAAACAGTTAATTTGAGATAAAATTAGTTGAAGAGGAATGTGATGTGTTGCATGATAATTAACTTGAGCATGTTCGAATTAATCTATTCTAAATAGTTTTAAAGCATTTTTCAAGTGTTTTTGAGTAAATTAAAAAAAAGGCTTACAAGTATGCACTTGATTTTAAACAAAAAAAAAGCTAGAAATCAGGTTAGAGTTTGTAACCTATGACTTTTGGCTTATATTATAAGTCAAAAGTCCAAAACTAATTCATATAGTCTCTTATTCTCTTATTTAAAGCTTGTTTGGATTGACTGAAAAAATAGCTTTTAAAAAGTATCTTAAAGGCATTTTTTAAAGTGCTGAAACTTATTTTAAAAATAAACAGTTACATGTTTGGATAAAAGTGTTGTAGCCGGGAAAAAAGTTATTGATGTGTTTGGTACACAAGGATTGTTAAACATTTTTTAAATTATGAAAATGTCTGAGATATCCTTGAAGTTGTTAACATTATAAAAAGTTGATTACATTAAGATTTTACTTTGAAAAAAAAGATTTTGAATAAAAATAATTTACATTTTAATACAATTTCAATATAAACATATTATTTAAGTTAATTTTATACACACAACCTCTTTTTTAATTTTTTTAAAATATAAATTTAAAATGTCTTTTTAATAAAATTCACAAGTAGTAGTATTTGCCCATCATTCACATATTTCTCTATTACCGTAAATTATTTAAAAGAAGAATAATGAAAGAAAGAGAAGTGCTAAATTGATAGAAAACACTGCCCTTTTTTAATGAATTGTGGCTAGGTGGCCTTTTTACTAATTAATAAAAGAGAAAATAAATAAATTTCACCTTCAACTTAGCAACAAAATTTACTTTAGCACTTTAACTTTACGGGTAATTATTTACCACTCTAATCTCTTTTCAAGTGTATTTAAATACACCCAAACAACTGACATGGCAAGTCAAAAAAAATATAGTACGTAAATACCAAATATTAAAGAGAGAAAAAATAAGCGAGCCCTAGTATTATTTTTTTAGCCTATAAATTTTCTTTCCTTCATCTTTCTCATACCCTACCACCCCAGCCCTTAGTATACCACCAGCCCCACCCCACTCCTTCATCTTCCTTTGAAAAGGAAAAAAAAAATCAACAATTTGTTCTTGCTTCAAATGGTAGTGTTTGAATGTGAAGAACTTAAAGCTCTTTTCAATGAAAAAATTATAATTTCTTAATCTCAAATTAAATTTTCAGTTGTTATAATTTATTTGTTTTGATAATGTTTCTTAAAAATTGAATGTGTTTTTATGAGAATGGTTTTAAGATCTTGGATCAATCTTTCATCCTTACTTGAGTTTGTTCAATTGCAATTTTGACTGAGTTGAGGAACAGGCAAGCTCATTTTTTGAGATTTTTTTACTTATAAAATTATGAATAAATAAAAAGAAACAAAAACAAAGAATTTAAAAAATCAAAATTTAAATAATGTTCAATGTGGCGCTGATGTATCGATGACATAGCACATATGGAATGCACTTGCCATTGTGAGACTGATATTATAATTTTAGGGTGATATTAAATTCACTTGAAAAGAGATTAAGTGATAAATAATTATCCGTAAATTTAAAGTGTTAAAGTAAGTTTTACTACCAAGTTCAGGAGAGATTTTATGTGTTTTCTCTTAATAAAATGGCCTAAAAAGGACCAAATCAAATAGAAATGACCAGTCCAAATGGATCGGTCCCAAAAACTAATAGAAAATTAAAATTAATCCTACAAAGCAAAAAATGGAAGTAAAGTGAGAGCGAATGAACTCTCTGGCTTTTGTAATCAACAATCCTTCATCTACATCGTGTCCGCTCAAATTCTTGTCAGTTTTGGTGTTGCTTGGTCAGGTCCTTTTAGCCATGGTGAAGTGTTCTCCCTACATCTTCTGAGAGCTCAAAGATGCTTTTATGACCCTATTAATCCTCGTTGGTTCTTGATCTCTACTCAACTACAATGAGTTCTCTTTCTTTACTAGATCTAACTTCTTTGGTTTATATTTATTGTTAATCATTTTAGATCTACTAGATGTAATTACTCTTTTACAATGTGATATATGTTCAAACTTGTTGTCATGCCCCGAGGCTACCTCCTTGATGTAACACGGAACCTAGGATCACGAGTGATCCCAATCTAACCCTGAAGCTGACATATCATAAGCATATTGAAAATATCTAAAAAAATATGAACTAATGCGGAAGCTAAATCATTTGATAACTGAAAGTGGGGAATACCCAACTAGTCTGAATGTATAAAACATTCTAAGAGTTTAATAATACTGAAAGGTAAACTTAACAAGTCAAACTGATTCTATTATTATATCTGAAAAGCCTCTAGCTGACTAGAGTAGTTGGGACATGCCCCCAACTAACTCTAGAAAAACTGAAAACTGAATATGGAAAGCATATCTATTGTTCTCGAAGTATGAGGACTCACCACTGAATCTGTTAAAATACAGATCGAGAGTCGATCTACGCGTGAT